ACGGGGTTTCACCATGTTGACCAGGATGGTCTCGATCTCTTGACCTCGTGATCCACCCGCCTCGGCCTCCCAAAGTGCTGGGATTACAGGCTTGAGCCACCGCGCCCGGCCCCTTAATTATTTTTTAAGCTCTAGTTTTCTAGTTGATTCTTTGGATTTCCAGGCACATAAACATATTATTTTCTCCTTTGTAATATTTATATTATGCAGTTGCTGAGTCTACCATCAGCCTTGTCATTTGGGACAAATCCTCTGTCCATTAAGTCCAGTGGTAAATATGGGGACACCTCATCTCTACAATAATAAAAAAGATAGGTGTGGTGGTACATGCCTGTGGTCTCGGCTACTTGGGAGGTTGAAGTAGGAGGACCTATCTCTACTTGGGCCTGGAAGGTCAAGGCTGTAGTGAGCCATGAACGTACCAATGCCCTCCAGCCCAGGCGACAGGTGAGACCCTGTCTCAAAAAAATAGATAAGTAAATAAAAGTAAAAACAAAAATGAAAATTTTGAATTGAGATAAAAGAAAAGAAATACTATTGCCTAACAGGAAAATAGGGAGAGACATTAGCAAAAAACAAAGAACCTATTTCAAAAGTTGTAAGATGCCTGCCATCCCAGCACTTTGGGAGGGCAAGTCAGGTGGAATCCCCTGAGGTCAGGAGTTCAAGATCAGTCTTGCCAATGTGATGAAACTCCATCTCTACTAAAAATACAAAAATCAGCCGGGAATGGTGGCGAGCGGCTATAGTCCAGCTACTAGGGAAGCTGAGGCCAGAGAATCGCATGAACCAAGAAGGCGGAGGTTGCAGTGAGCCAAGATCTCACCACTGCACTCCAGCCTGGGTGACAAAGTGAGACGAAAAAAAAAGTTACAAGAATTAAGCAAGTTGAATTCTACAGGAAGTATGAACATTTGCTTTACTAAAGAAGAGTGCTTAAGCTACTATGAAATGAAAAGACGGGCCGGGCGCGGTGGCTCACGCCTGTAATCCAAGCACTTTGGAGGCCAAGGCGGGCGAATCACCTGAGGTTGGGAGTTCAAGGCCAGCCTGACCAACATGGTGAAACCCCATCTTAAAAAAAAAAAGGAAATGAAAAGTCATAATTGATAATGGAAAGGAAACAAGCCATGTGAAATGTACTGAACTGAAGCATAAACCAAGGTTTGGATTTAATGTATTAATTTGGAAAACAATATAAATGCCATAAATGCCTGAAGAAGCCAGGCATGGTGGCACTCGCCTTGTAGTCCCAGCTACTCAGGAGGCTGAGGCCGGAGAATCACTTAAACTCAGGAGGCGAAGGTTGTAGTGAGCCAAGATTGTGCCATTGCACTCCGGCCTGGGTAAAAAGAGCAAAACTCCAGCTGGATGTGGTGGCTCACACTTGTAATCCTAGCACTTTGGGAGGCTGAGGTGGGCGGATCACGAGATCAGGAATTTGAGACCAGCCTGGCCTTGGTGAAACCTCGTCTCTACTAAAAATATAAAAACCAGCCGGGCACGATGGCAGGTGCTTATAATCCCAGCTACTCAGGAGGCTGAGGCAGGAGAACTGCTTGAACCCGGAAGCTAGAGATTGCAGTGAGCCAAGATCGAGCCATTCCACTGCAGCCTGGGTGACAGAGCAAGACTCTGTCTCAGGGGAAAAAAAAAAGCAAAACTCCATCTTAAAAAAAAAAAAAAAAACACAAGGTAACAAAATCATTGCAGGAGACGTAGAACTGCATACAATAAAAAGAATCAGGAACGGTTGATGTTGAAACGATTATGGGAAAGAGATGCTTAAACATATCTGGGGTTTGAGGAACCAGAGTATGATGGAGCTCTTGAGAATATAATCAAAGGTGAAGTAGGCCGGGCTCAGTGGCTCACACCTATAATCCTAGCACTTTGGGAGGCTGAGGCGGCTGGATCACTTAAGGTCAGGAGTTAGAAATCAGCCTGACCAACTGGTGAAACCCCATCTCTATTAAAACTACGAAAATTAGGCAGGCATGGTGGTGCACGCCTGTAGTCCTAGGTACTTGGGAGGCTGAGGCATGAGAATTGCTGGAACCTGGGGAGGCAGAGGTTGCCGTGAGTTGAGACCATACTTCTGCACTCCAGCCTCGGTGACAGAGACTCTCAAAAAAAAAAAAAAACAACAAAAAGGTGAATTACATAAGTGCATCATAATCTACTTACTATCTCTTATGGTATGAACCGTGTCCTGAAGAAAAATACGTTAAAGTCCTAGCACCTGGTACCTGTGAATGTGACCTTATATGTATCTATGGCACTTGGTCCTCTACCTCACACAAGGTAAGCATTCGAAAAATGTGTGAAAGGAAGGAATAAATTTCAGGTGAAATGGTGACCAACGCAAGTTGTGACAGAAGTTTTACAGAGCAAAAGCTCTCAACCACTAAGCCATGGAACTGGAATAGAACGTCTAATTATAAAGTACAGGCAATTTCCATAGCAACATTAAGGACCGAGGTTTAGGAGGAATTTTCCTTGTTTTTTATAAAGAAACATAAAATAGAACTAATTCAAGGTAATCCCTATAATAACGATGCCCTTGCTCACATTCTGATGTTTTCTTGAATGTCAGTGGGAGAAGCAGCATTAGAGCAATATTCCAGGAATTGTATCCAACCCTGGAATACCCACGAAAGAGCATTTTATGGGGAAAAACAGATAAGAACTGCTGCTATAAAAAAGAGAAGAAAATTGCTGGGCACAGTGGCTCACGCCTGTAATCCCAGCACTTTGGGAGTCCAAGATGGGTGGATCACGAGGTCAGGAATTCGAGACCAGACTGGCCAAGGTGGTGAAACCCCGTCTCTACTAAAAATACAAAAATTAGCCAGGTGCAGTGGCACGTGCCTGTAATCCCAGCTACTCAGGAGGATGAGGCAGGAGAATCACTTGAACCCGGGAGGCAGAAGTTGCACTGAGCCGAGATCACGCCATTGCACTCCAGCCTGGGTCACAGAGTGAGACTCTAACTCAAAAAAAAAAAAAAAAAAGAAACAAAGGAAAAGAACTGCTGCTATGAAGAAGAGAAGTCACTGGATAATAATAGCAATAGCAATAAAAACAATGGCTAGCAATTATTAAGCACATACTATTTTCCAGGCATGCATTTAAAAATACTAATTTATTTAACCTCATATGAATTATTGCAATAGCTCTGTGATCGGTCTCACTGAATGTACCCACCTCTAAAAATCTATTCTGAACATGGCAGCCAGAATAATCCCTTTACAACATGTCAGACAACGTCATTGCTGAAGACCCTCCCATGGCTCCCACCTGCCCCAGAGGAAAAGACCCAGCATGACCGGGACCTCACTGCCTCTCTAACTTCATCACTAAGCCTCTTCCTGTCACTCTGCAATCCTACCCACGGGCCTCCTTGCCATTCCTTGATCTTGCCAAGAGCACTCCCTTCAGGGTCTGTCTTCCAGCAGCTGCTCCTCTCCTGTAACAGTTTTCCACCCAAATGTATCTGAAGGACTCACTTCCCCACTTTCTTTTGTTCTCTGCTCAAATCAGTAAGGCCTTCCCCGACCACCCCAGCAATGAATATCCAGTGTAGAATTACCATGAACCAAAAACCTTCCTCCACATTTCAATCTTTTGCTAAAAACTACTCAGCTGTAAAATTTTTCTGAATCTTAAAACTTTTAAATAATATGATGCTAAAATTGTTATGAGAAATAGATACCTGTAGCTGTTGAAGATCATCTTCCTGAATGTTCTGGGATAAATTATAAATCTAGAAAACAAAAATCCAGATTGATACTTCTCTGGTTTACTTCAAACAAATCCTAAATAAGCCTAAAGGACTGACAGAAGCTTTGAACAATTAAAGACTTGCATATAAGAACATGAGGTCTGTTCAAACAACAATATGATCTGTCTTTTGGAAAATTATGCACATAAGGTTGAAATCAAAAAATTCTTCCTTTACAGTTTAAAGTATAGTTTTCCTAAATTCTTATTAAAATCTATATTTTCTATATGATGTAATGGATATAAATTTCCATTTTTTGGAACTTTCCTTAGAACACATTATATATAATTATAACCAAAGAGGAAAAATGCTTTGGCTCCTTCTCAAGCTTTTAAGAGCTTAACTGAATCTACAGTTTAAAAATAATATTTACATATCATCATGGAAATTCTGTTAACAGAATAACAAAAACTGTATTTCCTCCCTTTATCTTATTTCCTTTGCAAACTTTTTTCCAAGTCAAGTGATTTTTACCTGAACAGAACTAGTCATAGTGCTTAGAGCAAAGATGGTAGCACAGTCTTTCACAGTTGACTGGCTGTCAAATGCCCCCTGGGTATCCATCAGAACAACTGCAACCTAAAAAAAAAAAAAGGAAAATACAAATAAAAGAGGCTAAAGTAAGAAGGAGGAAAATATAAAGGAGAAATTGAAAAGTATAGTTAATTTTACATGAGCCTTAAGCACTTCCTTGTAGGTTCTGTACAACTATTTAGGTGCTTTGCTTTGACTACAGCACTCTACAAGATGACTCAGAGGCATACAGAGCAATATGAAAGGCGAAAATTGCCCCACCAATTGAAACGGCCAAATGTTGAAAGCAATTAGCTCATTATCCAGCCAGGCATTTACACGTTTTTTGTTGTTGAAAAATAAACTACAAATATTCATTTTGGCCAGATGCAGTGGCTCACATCTATAACACCAACACTTTGAGAGGCCATGTTGGGAGGATCACTTGAGCCCAGGAGTTCAATACCAGCCTGGGCAACATAATGAGAACCTGTCTCGACAAATAATTTAAAAATCAGGTTGGGTACAGTAGCTCATGCCTGTAATTCCCACACTTTGGGAGGGAGGCCAAGTCAGGTGGATCGCTTGAAGCCAGGAGTTCCAGACCAGCCCAGTCAACACGGTGAAATCCTGTCTCTACCAAAAATACAAAAATTAGGCTGGGCACGGTGGCTCAAACCTGTAATCCCAGCACTTCGGGAGGCCGAGGCAGGTGTATCACCCAGGAGGTGGAGGTTGCAGTGAGCTGAGATGGCACCACTGTACTCCAGCCTGGGCAACAGCGCAAGACTCCATCTCAAAAAACAAAAAGCAAACAAACAAACAAAAAAAATTAGCCAGGCATAGTGGCACACACCTGTAATCCCAGCTGCTCCAGAGGCTAAGGCAGGAGGATCACTTGAGCCCTGGAGGCAGAGGCTGCAGTGAGCCAAGATCATGCCACTGCACTCCATGGCAACAGAGCAAGACTCTGTCTCACTTGAGCCCAGGAGGACAAGGCTGCAGTGAGCTGTGATGGCACCACTCACTCCAGCCTAAGCAACAGAGTGAGAACCTGTCAGAAAAAAAAAAAAAAAAGACAGACAAATACAATGAGATACTATTTCAAACCTACTAGGGCTGGCTATAGTAGCCAAAAAGACAAATAATATCAGGTATTGGCAAAAATTTTTGTATTTTGTATTTTTTTTTTCAGAGATGGGGTCTCACTCTGTTGCCCAGGCTGGTCTTGAACTCCTGAGCTTAAGAGATCCATCTGCCTCAGCCTCCCAAAGTGCTAGGGTGCTAGGATTACAGGCATGAGCCACCACGCCTGGCTTTTTTTTTTTTTTTGAGACAAACTCTCACTTTGTTGCCCAGGCTGGAGTGCAGTGGCGCAATTGCAGCTCACTGCAACCTCCACCTCCCAGTTTCAAGCGATTCTCGTGCCTCGGCCTCCCGAGGCTCATGGAGACTCATGGACACTGGAGACTCATGCATTGCTGGTGAAAATACAGGTGGGTATAGCTGTCTTGAGAAACTATTTGGCAGTTTTTTGAAAGGTTAATCATGGAGTTGTCATGTGACCGAGACAGTTCACTCTTAGGTAATCATCCAAAAGAGGTGAAAACGTATGTTTACACAAAAACCTGCACATGAAAGTTCATGGCAGGATTATATTCATAATAGCCAAAAAGTAGAAACAACCCAAATGTTCATTAACTGATTAAGAGATAAATAAAATGAAACAAAATGTGGTGTGTGTGTGTGTGTGTGTGTGTGTGTGTATATACATACACACAATGGAAAGTATTCAGCCATGGAAAGGAGTTAAGTACTGATTACAACATACATGGGCCATGAGAACACGAGGCTAAGTAAGGATGACCAGACATAAAAGATCACATATGATAAGATTTCATTTATATGAAATGTCCAGAAGAGGCGGACAGATCCAGAATGGAAATAGATTAGGAGTTGCCAAGGCTAGGAGAAATGGAAATGGAGAGTGGCTGTTCATGGGTACTAGGTTTCTTTCAGGGGTGATGAAAATGCCATAGAATTTGTGGTGATAACTGGACAGTCTCATGAGTACACTAAAAACCAATGACTTGTATACTTCTAAAGGATGAATTTTAGAGTATATAAATTATATCCCAATTTAAAACAGGCTAATCATGGCATATATTTGCTAACCAGAAAAAATGAGGCTAGACAGGAGAAATACTTTTTAAAGAACAGGGGTCATATGTGTACTGACATAAAGTGCCAGACATTTGGGGAAATGGTATCCGCACGCCATAGAGTGAAACTGTAAACTGCCATAAGCTCTTTCAAGAACAATTTGGCAATAGCTAAAACAGGCACTCAGAAAGGGGAAAGGGGCGCCCTCAGACCCAGCAATCCCACTTCCAGGGGGCTTTCTGATGTTTTTTATTAGTATCCACAGTAAGAAATGTATCTTATATCATGACCAAATACACACATAAAAAGTTGAAACTTAATTTATATGTGTACTACACTCTAATGCTTTCTACTCTGTTTTACTACTTACTTTTTTAAATACTGCTCATGAGCCAATAAATTAATTTTTCTACCCCTAATGGGTCATGGATACAATTTTTAAAACTGTGGCCCAAAGACACACTTGAACACCCCGTTTACTCAAGAAGACATCCATCAGGATGTTCACTGTAGCAAAGATTACCAAAAATAAAGATAAAATTTAAAAATAAGGAAGCAATCTAAATGTCCTCAGTAGGGAAAATGGGTGACAAGGTGGTATATTAATATAATGATTACTACATAACAGTTAAAAAGAGTAGACCCAATCTATATATTCTTAAATGTAATTTTTAATTAAGAAGTAAAAATAAATGAAAATTATCTACTTCTTAAACCAGATTCTTCTAGGCTAATATCTCATTTAGCATAAAAAAGTAAGACAATCATACTAAAGGCTAACTTCTAAAGAAAGGTTAACAATCTGGCGGCTCAGCGCAGTGGATCACACCTGTAATCTCAGCACTTTGTGAGGCCAAGACAGGCAGATCACTTGAGGTCAGGAGTTTGAAATGAGCCTGGCCAATCTGGTGAAACCCTATCTCTACTAAAAATACAAAAATTAGCCAGGTGTAGTGGTGTGCGTCTGTTGTCCCAGCTACTCAGGAGGCTGAAGCAGGAGAATCCCTTGAACCTGGGAGGCAAAGGTTGCAGTGAGCTGAGATCGCACCACTGCACTCCAGCCTAGGCGACAAAGTGAGACTCCCTCTCAAAAAAAAAAAAAATTTATCAATCTGACATTATCCAATATTACATTGACTTTTTAAAGCACTCCTGATCCTGCTGGGGTTTTTTTCTTGTTTTTTTGTTTGTTTGTTTAAAAGAAATAGGGTTTTTACTGTTTCCCTGGCTGGACTTGAACTCCTGGGCTCAGGCAATCCTCCTGCCCAGCCTTCTGAGTAGCAGGAACTACAGGTGCACACCACTACACACAGCTGAACATAGCATGTTTTTTGGGTTTGGGTTTTTTTGCTTGTTTGTTTTTTGAGACAGGGTCTCACTCTGTCGCCTAGGTTGGAGTGTAGTGGCACAATCACAGCTTATTACAGCCTCGTATCACCCAGGCATAGGCAGTCTTTCCATCTCAGCCTCCCAAGTAGCTGGGACTACAAGTGTGCACCACCATGCCCAGCTAATTTTTCTATTTTTGTAGAGACAAAGTTTTGCCATGTTGCCCAGGCTTGAGCATAATGTTTTTTAAAAGAATAGGAAACCCAATGATGTGATACCATTACACATCTATTAGAATGACAAAAATCCAACCGAGCATGGTGGCTCACATGTGTAATCCCAGCACTGTGGAAAGCTGAGAAGGATGGATCCCCTGAGGTTGGGAGTTTGAAACCAGCCGAATCAACATGGAGAAACCCATCTCTACTAAAAATACAAAAACTTAGCCAGCATGGTGGCACATGCTTGTAATCCCAGCTACTCAGGAGGCTGAGACAGAAGAATTGCTTGAACCTGGGAGGTGGAGGTTGCAGATTGCACCATTGTCCCCAGACTGGGCAACAAAAAAAAAAAAAAAAAAAAACAAAAAAAAAAAAAAAAAAAAAAAAAGAATGATAAAAATCCAAAACATTGACAACAACAAATGCTGGCAACAATATGGAGCAAAAAGAACTTTAATTAGTTGCTGATAGGAATGCAAAATGGTACAGCCACTTTGAAAGACAATTTGGCAGTTTCTTGGAAAACTAAACATAATCTTACTATAAAATCCAGCAATCATGCTCCTTAGAGCCAGGCACAGTGGCTCATGCCTGTAATCCCAGCACTTTGGGAGGCCAAGGTGGGTGGATCATGAGATCAGGAGTTCAAGACCAAACTGCCCAAGACAGTGAAACCCTTTCTCTACTAAAAATACAAAAATTAGCCAGGCATGCTGGTAGGTGCCTGTAATCCCAGCTACTCAGGAGGCTGAGGTAGGAGAATTGCTTGAACCTGGAAGGTGGAGGGTGCAGTGAGCCGAGATTGCACCATTGCACTATAGCCTAGGCAACAGAGTGAAACTCCATCTCCAAAAAAAAAAAACTCCTTGGCATATACCCAAAGGAGCTGAAAGCTTATGTCCCAACAAAAGCCAAAACATGAGTATTTACTGGAGCTTTATCCTTAATTGTCAAAATTTGAAAGCAACCAAGATGTTCTTCAACAGGCAAATGGATGAACAAACTGTGGTACATTCATAATGTAGAACACTATTCAGCAATTTTAAAAAATGAACTATCAAGACATGAAAGACTGGGAGGAATCTTAAAATCACATTGCTAAGTGAAAGAGACCAATCTGAAAAGGCTGCATACTGCAGAATTCTAACTATATGACATTCCAGTAAAGGCAAAACTATGGCAACAGTAAAAAAATCAGTGGTTACAGGAGTTTGTGCAGAGGGAAGAGAGGAACAGACAGGTAGATCACAGAGAATGTTTAGGGCAGTTTGACTATTCTGTATGATACAGTAATAGCAGATACATGTCACTATACACTTACCAAATCCAATTCACAATACAATGAGTGAGCCT